ATCATACCGGTAACTATTTGATATGTGAATGTGCTTCTGTAATACCACATGATCAGAAAATATATAAGGTTTAAAACATTTCAGTGTAATGTAATTTCTCGGTACATTTGACGGTCTTGCCTCTCCCCCCACCTCCGCCCCATACCGAAAGGCTGGTCACGCCACTGATCAAATTTAACACATAAATGCTTGCTGCAATATGAGTTAAAATACCCTCTACAGTATGCACCAGATTGCACCATTTTAAGCTAAAAAGTGCAAAAACTCCCTATTGTGAGAGGGGGGTTACCTCCCCCCAGGGGCGTGTACAGAGGGGGGGTCCAGGGGGTCCGGACCCCCCTGCTCGCGCAGAAAACGCATCTGAGGGGGTCTAATTTCAAAAAAATTTATGGGGGAGGGACCCCCCCTTCGCGTGCTCGCAAGTATGGGTTACGGTTAGACCCCACCCTGGTCCAAATCCTGTACACGCCCCTGCCCCCTCACTTGCTTCGCTCTCTCCCCGTATCATCCCCAACATTTGACTACATATTGCTCATTTGGTGCCCCCTCTTTTTGAAATTCTTGGATCCGCCCCTGCGACACATATAGTATGCATATTTATCTGTACATCCGAAACAAAATGTGTAGTGTTGTGTAGTGTAGTGTAGTGTAGTACTCATTGGAAAGAGTATACAGCTACGCAGAACAGACCTTTAGCCAAACGAAAATAGCCATGCTATTGGTTACATTGAAATAAGAGTAAATACGTACGTTTTTGTGAACAAATTTCATTGCAAATTTACTAGGGTAAGTAGGGAATTTTTTTACATTAGCGAAACCTGTCACGATGCAGAATGAAACAAGCCTATTCTTTCCTCCTAGTGATTCCGAGGATCAATCTAACATCAGCCCCAAGAGACAAAATAATAAGAAGTGCTCCACGAGGTAGTAAACCCCCCGGGTGGGTGGGGTGTTTCGAGAGCAGTCGGAGATATTTGTTATTTTTCGGAGAATGCAGTAAAAAATACTTGCGTCGGCAAAAGTTTTTTTAGAGTTGGTGAGTACCGGCAACACGCATATGTTTTGTCTGGTCGTAGGTGATGCGTGCAAATGGATTTAGTTAGTTTTGGGTATTGACTTGTATATATGTGCTGCCTCATAATCGGGTTGGTGTACCAGTGATATTAGCTGTCAGTCTTGATAACACTGTAGTTGGCCACCGAAGAGCCATACACAACTGTATATTGATATAACTATGCCATTTCATGCCAAGAGATGGAAGTATTATTTGAACTATATTGTTCATTAGTAATATTGTAAATAACGGCTATTAACATCGTTCTAGTCACAGCAATGTTATCAATGATTCAAGTTGTAAAACTTGCTCTCCTAGCTGTGGATAAATATAAATAGTAACTCTATATATTGCCTAACGTAGTGTATTATACGTAATATTGCAGGTAATTGCACCTGGCTAACTCGTTTCTAACAGTTTATATACCAGTTTTCTACTTTGTATAATCTGTTCTTATAGCGATTCAGCTGCTTATAATTTGTTATATTTAGTTCAAAATCTAAAAAATGTAGATTTGTTCGTGGTGCCTTCACGATCGTTACGTTATGCATAAAAAACATATAATAAATTTAAAAAACAAATTAGATGAAAACGGTGACCTAATGTCACTTGAGCAACTCAAATTAAAGTTTAATATTCAAACAACATTCTTTGATGTATTTAGAGTACATAAAGCAATACCAGTTGAATGGATAAACCAAATCAAAACTGAATTTACTTTTATTGGTGCTGGTCGATCCATTACACCAGCAGTTCACTCGCTATATAATGCACCAAAAAGCTGTAAAGAATTTTATCGAAATTTCAATAATACACAAATTACTACTCGGGTCGTCAGCAAAGATAAATGGTCTAGAGACCTAAATATTCATTTAGAAAACGAAAAATTGGAACATTTTTATCGGTTGCTGTTTCAGACTTCAATTTACACAACCCTCAGGTACTTCCATTTTTCTAAAATAGATATTATACTTGGAATAGAAGGTGTGGACATCATAGTTAATTTATGTATACAGATAGCTAAGCTTGCTATATATATATGTAAACTGAATAATTCCAGACCAACTATTGCTGCAATAAAAGCCAACATATGATGGATATAGAAAAATATATTGCACAAACAAATAACAATATGAACAAGTTTTATGGTAAATGGGCTGCTTTATTTCACAGCTTACAATAAAACAATATACTACTCTATTGTATATGACTACAAAATGTATGTCAACATGTGCAATATGCAGAACTTTGTTGAATTAGTAGTCGTGGCCTTTGCACAGTAACTTATTATAACTCACCGACTATAATTTGCTTCTTTACTATATTCTTCATTCTATATCTATGACTATATGTAATCAGGAGTCTATCAATATTGATAGACTCCTGATCTTACTGCATTTTGTTGGAGACTTTATCTAGTGTAGTCCGTACTAATAATCTTCCAAAATTTTTGAATATGATCCAAAATATGCTTTGAATATGTTCTTATTAGTGTTCAAATCCTGTATGTGTCTACATAATTATTTGATCAGCTATGTGTGTAAATGTATGTACTTGTGTCAAATCTTGAAAAAAAAATTCTACTTTGGTGTTTACGTAAAAGTTTAACCTTTCTCGTTCATGAGCTTACTCATAATTTATACCTTACCGGCAGGACACCGATCTATCTATCTCTCTATCTATTTATTTATTTATCTACGGTATCTTTAGTAACAGTGAAGCAAGTCAGTGCAAGCTGAATCCTGTTTGGACTGTTTTGACCTGAATCCTGTTGCTGCAGGGGCCCGTTTATTTAATGCTGCTGCAGTGGCCTATTTATCTTTTCCGTTTTCGTGTTTATTTTTGCTTAGATGACCTCGGCGGTCAAATCCAATGTGCCCATGACATTCAGCATCAAAATTTACTCCTACTGAAAGTCATTGGACATTTCTAGAGTGATCCATATTGATTTGCATTGAGAACAGACAAACAGACATGCATTCACAAATATGTATTAGACTAGCAGGACACCCGGCGTTGCCCGGGAAATAAAGCGCTCAGTAGGTGACCACTTGGTTAAGAAAAATATCCAAAAATATATCTATCTATCTATCTATCCATCTATCCATCCCATCCATGCCACCCCATCCCACCCCATCTTATCCCATCCCATCCCAAATAATAAAA